GCAGAACAAAGCCAGAAGTGGTGCTGTGGCTCAAGTGGTAGAGCGCTAGCTTTGAGCTGAAGAGCTGAGGGACAGCGCCCAGGCCCAAAGTTCAAGCCCCATGCTTGACAAAAAACAAAACACCAAAAATGAACCAAAACAAAATAACCTTCCCCCCAAACAACAGCCAATTAAAACAACAAAGCTGGGAGCTGCTGGCTCAGACCTATAATCCTAGCTACTCAGGAGGCTAAGATCTGAGGATTGTGTTTCAAAGCCAGCCTAGGTAGGAATGTCCATGAGACTCATCTCCAGTTAACCATCAGAAAACTGAAAGTAGAGCTGTGCCTCAAAGTGGCAGAACCCTGAGCAAAAAACCCTGAGCAAAAAGAAATTCAGGGACAGTGGGCTGGGAAGGTAGCTCAGTGGTAGAGCGCTTGCCTTGCATGCCTGAGGCCCTGAGTTCAATTTCTCAGCACCACATAAGAAAAAAGCCGGAAGTGGCACTGTGGCTCAAGTGGTAGAGCGCTAGCCTTGAGCTGAAGAACTGAGGGACAGCACCCAGGCCCAGAGTTCAGGCCCCATGACCGGACCCTCCCCCCCCAAAAAAAAAAGAAATTCAGGGACAGTGTCCAAGCCCTGAGTTCAAGTCCCATAATAAAATAAAAGAGTAGCATGGAGGAAGGAATATATTTAATGGAATTTATATTAGTGCAGCAATAATGGAGAGGAGGTTAAAGATTCTTCAAAAGTATAAAAATGGAACTACCATGTAATACAATGATACCACATGTGGATGTATGCCTGAAGGAGTCTAAGTCACGTATAAATGCCTACATATCTCTGTTTATTGCAGCACTAACCACAAAAAGCTATGGAATCAGCCTAAGGACCCATTAATAGAATGGATGAATAGATAAAGAAAATACATTATATAAATGCACAATGAAGTATTATTCAATCATAAACATGCCATTTTCTGGAAAATGAATGAAGCTGAAGATATATATATATATGTATATACATATATGCATATATATGAATTCACATATGTATTAATAGATATATTCATACATATAAGTAAATACACCATATCGAAACCAACAAAATGCTGGTTGAAAAAGGCAGGAGGAGGGAGAGAAAGAAGAATGAAAAATGGTGGAAGAAATGAATTTACTCAAAGTGCTCTATGTGCAGGTATGGAAATATCACAATAAACCCCCTCCCTCATATTACAAATGTATGCCAATTCAAAACTAAAAATATTGAGCTTTCTTTTCTGTATGAGGGATTGGATCTAGGGCTTTGCACATGCTAAGCACATGTTCCATGTGTTCTATCATTGAACTATTTAGTTCTGCCTATTTCTTCTTTGTTCTTATCTCTTACACATCCTGGGCTTGTCCTTTACCTTTAGGAGTACTAAATGGCCTGTAGTTTATTTTTTTATTTTTTTATTCTTTTCTTGGGTCCAGTCGTGGGGCCTGAACTCTGGGCCTGGGCGCTGTCCCTCAGCTCAAGGCTAACGCTCTACGACTTGAGCCACAGCGCCACTTCTGGCTTTTTTCTTTTTGCTTATGTGGTGCTGAGGAATCAAACCCAGGGCCTCGGGCATGCAAGGCAAGCGCTCTACCACTGAGCCACCTTCCCAGCCCCTGGCCTGTGGTTTTTGAGTGTACTCTCTGGTTGATGCCTTTGTTTAAGCACTGAGTCTACCTGCAAGAATTCCTTCTACCTCTTCCTGCCAACTATCTTCTTATCTTTCAAGATTCAGCTCAGTCTTTAAGTTTTGAGACATCTTGATCCATCCATTCTTATCCACCAGACTGTGAAATGAAGTCAGGAGACTACATACGGTTCATCTTGTAGCCTCTCTCAGTGCTTATCAGCCAGACTGAAGTCACTTGGGAAACATTTGTGAGCAAGCTGACTTCCTTGTACATCCATGACATTTAGAGCAGTCATTATATTTGAGTCCAAATGCTTGACTTCCTTCCAAGAAAGTGAGGTCCAGGAAGATAGTCTGAATTTTAGCTATGCTCAAGGTTCAGCACTTTGAACACAAGAAGTTGTTTATGAGTATTTGTTGGATCAATGATCAGAGAAGGAACATTTCAAATTGAATTGCCCTTTTCATGACTCCCAACAAAACACTGGCCAAGCCATTCAAAGGGAAGTTTGGTCATGTTTGTTAATCTATTTAGGGTACAAAAGAAATACATAGCTAGAAATTGTATAAAGATGGGTGAGTAAAGTAATCCAAGCCTCTCAGGGTAAAAATTTTCAAAGATACATTATTTAGGCTGGCCTTGAAATTATTCATCCTTCTGCCTTAGCGTCCTGGATGCTGGGATTATGGATGTGCACTACAAATCTTGAGTAAGCATCAATTTCTCTCAGCCAGGTTCAATAATATGTAACAAGATTATATTGTTACCATACTTAAGGTTAGCCTATTTAAAGCATTACTGTGTAGAGAAAGGATAAGCAATTAAAATGTTTCAAAAATCCAACAACTGGAATCAACAGTACTCCCAGATTTGACTCTAGAGGAGATTGAGAGTCAATCACCCAGAAAAGGAGAGGCAGGATGTGAGTGGCAGAAAAGGAACAGAGGAGGTGATGTAAGAGTAAGTAGAAAAAGGTTGCAATTAAGAGAGAAAGGAAGTAGTTTGACATTGGAAAGTGTCTGGCATGGAAGATGAGCCTCTGGCGAGAAAGGGACAGGTCACTAATCCACTACAAGAGATTCCGCCTACCATTGTCTGGGTTTTGAAAATAAGTTGATGAGGTTTGGATTTAATAAGCATTAAAATTCCAAGAACACTTAAAATTGTCCAGGGAGGTTATAGAGCAAACATCATGTGAGTAAATTTCTAAGGCTCAACCAGACAGCCGTTATGGATGGTTTGAGACTAACACATCCATCTGCTACTACAGAGAGAACTTAATGACCCCTGAGATCTTATTCCAAACTTGTAAAAGGCAGAGGGAGGTTCATTGTGATGTTTCATCATACACTTCCTATGATTAATTCAGATATATTTGATGTCTTCTCTAAACCAAAGGAGATGGAGAGATTAAATTGTTGGTCTTTTCATGAACCTTGCTATCCATTTTCATATCTCTCTCCCTCTTATCTGAGTTTGGGACTTGAACTCAGAACTCAAACTTGGTACCTGTTGCTTTTGCTCATTGGCTGGTGCTCTAACAACTGAGCCATGTCTCCAACCCCAAGGATTGGCTCCTTTTTTTCCATTTACCTATCTCTAAATAATAACATTCTACTTGATAAGTTTATTTGGACCCTAATTTGAATGGGGCTGGGTTAAAGTTGAACCTGATGCACAAGCATGGTAGCTTCTTGTTCTGACAGTATAGAAATAAAGCCAGGAATGATTATAAGGTAACCAAGAATTTAACAGAGACAGTAGAGACCATTCAGGAGAATGAGCAGTGGGATCTGGAAACCAGGTGTCTACATCATGATTCCTGGGCTGTTGCTGTATGTTGTCCCTACCCCCTTTCTTTCTCTCCATTTAGACAATTTATCAGATTGTGGTTGGTGTGTTTGAAACAGGCAAGACTCCCCTGGGCAGTAGCTGCAAGATGGTGGGCTGGCCTGACTACCTAAGGCCTTTCCCCCCTCAAACCTGCTTAGTAAACCCCTTCATCATAGATTAAAATTTAAATGTTAAACATTGTATAGTGTATAGCATGGCAAAGCTTCCCTGAGAACTGAAATGGTTGAGACAGAGAATGGAAATGAGGTTCTAGCACCCATAGAAAGATGGTTCACATGTCTGCGTCCCCACCAGATTGGGAACCTGACTGCAGGAGCTTGGGCTTGAGTATTTCTACCCTTTAGCCCAGGGGCTGACACATAAAGGAAGTGCAGTAAGTTTTCTGATAAAGTCAATTAATCAAGAGACAATTCTTTTTAGAGTAGGGAGCCCTATCTTGGGATGTATTTTTCACTTCAGGGAGAGTTTTATAAAGTTTTAGCTTCATTCCAACATTTACTGAGAAATGTATGACAAGTCACTCAACCTGTCAGTCTCAATTTTCTTTTTCTTTTTTTTTCTGCTCAAGACTAGCATTCTTACCACTTTTTTTTTGCCAGTCCTAGAGCTTGAACTCAGGGCCTAGGCTCTATCTTTGAGTGCTCAAGGCTAGAGCTTTACCACTGAGCAATAACTCCATTTTCAGCTTTTTTTGTTTATGTGGTATGGAGAAATTGAACTCAGGGCTTCATGTATGGTAGGCAAGCAGTCTACCACTTAGCTACATTCCCAGCCCAAAGTTCACACCATTTTCTTTCTTTTTTTTTTGGGTCCGGTCGTGGGGCCTGAACTCTGGGCCTGGGCGCTGTCCCTCAGCTCTTCAGCTCAAGGCTAGCGCTCTACCACTTGAGCCACAGCGCCACTTCCGGCTTTTTTCTTTTTGCTTATGTGGTGCTGAGGAATCGAACCCAGGGCCTTGAGCATGCAAGGCAAGCGCTCTACCACTGAGCCACCTTCCCAGCCCAGTTCACACCATTTTCAACTTCACTTTACAGATGAGAAAACTGAGGGCTGGGTTAGTTGTCTATACCATCAGTGGTATAGACAAAGTGAAAAGCTAAGTAGCAAATGAGAAGAAATTCTTTTTGACCCAGATATTATACACACACACACATACACACAAACACACACACCCCAACAAAGAACTAATAAATACCTAAATATTGGCTATACTCATTTCTAGGCCACAAATTGGATTGCTTAAAGTAATACATATATGCTTGTGCTGAAGATGTGGCTTACGTAGTAGAGTCCCTGCCTTGTAAATGCAAGGCTCTGAGTTCAGTTCCCAGTACCACCAAAATACCACCACCACCACGCCCAGATATTTAGTCTATCACAGTTTTAGAGAGGTTGTACTGATTTCTTGTGGTGTTTCTTGGCTGTAGCGCATCTTCTATCTCTATCTTCACTTGTAGCTCTTCCCTGTGAATCTGTGTCCTTCAATGGGTTTCTTAGAAGGACACCAATTGTTTGTTCTTTTGTCAGTCTTGGGGCTTGAACTCAGGGCCTGCACACTATCCCTGAGCTTTTTTTTGCTCAAGGCTAGTGCTCAGCCACAGCTCCACTTCTAGCTATTTGGTGGCTAATCAGAGATAACAGTCCTTCAGACTTTCCTGCCAGGCTGGCTTGGAACCTCCTGAGTAGCTAAGATTACTATAGTCATGCCCACCATCAGAGCCACTTGTATTTTGAGTCTTTTCTGGTATGACTTTGTCTTAACTTGATTCCATCTGAAAAGATGTAATTTTTTTTTTACTATTTTTAAAAAACTATTTCCAAGGGGCTGGGAAGGTAGCTCAGCGGTAGAGTGCATGCCTTGCAAGCATGAGGCCCTGGGTTCGATTCCTCAGCACCACATAAACAGAAAAAGCTGGAAGTGGCGCTGTGGCTCCAGTGGTAGAGCACTAGCCTTGAGCTGAAGAGCTGAGGGACAGTGCCCAGACCCAGAGTTCAGGCCCCATGACCGGCAAAAAAAAAAAAAACTATTTCCAAGTAAGGACACATTCCAAGGATTTGGAGGACAGGGATTCTTGAGAGACCCTGTTCAAGCCTCTATTATCTACCCTCTTACCCCTTAAGTTCATATATGTCTCCTGGGAAAAAATATATCTCATGCCAGCATCTTCCAGTGTCCTCACTTATTCCAGCACCAACTCTAAATCTCACATCTCATTTAAGCATCAACTAAAAAAAAAATCTATTTTTTTTTTTTGGTCATGGGGGCTGAACTCTGGGCTTGGGCACTATCCCTCAACTCTTCAGCTCAAGGCTAGCACCATACCACTTGAGCCATACACCAGCTTTTTTCTGCTTATGTGGTGCTGAGGAATCAAACTCAGGGCCCCATGAATGCGAGGCAAGCACTCTACCACTAAGCCACCTTCCCAGCCCTAGTTGAGATATTTTGTATAAAGCAATAGTTGTCTTAATTTGTGGACCTGTGAAACTAGAAAGCCAGTTATCTACTTTCAAATATAATACCAGGTCTGGCATAAGACAGGCCTTTCTGAGAGAGAAAAAATGAAAAATGAAAGGGATCACTGGTTTCAAGCAAGTTTGAAACTTAGCAAGACAAATTCCATTAGGTTTTAAGGCCTGAGAAGAATTTTCTGCGGCTTGATTAGCTTCTGTGCCTGAAGAGACCTCTTTGGTCTCAGCCTCTGGGCTTGCCTTTCTGGCCTCTGTGTTTGTGGCTCTGCTTGCAGACTCATTCTTCCTTCTTATTGAATTATACCACATATGTGTTGCTGAGTAATTATATCAGTTCATTTCTTTGTCTATAAATTGGGGTTTCACAACCTTTCTTCATTGTATTCTGTCTCTGTTCCCTTTTGCCTAAGTGTCAGTGTTTCTGATTGTTCAGCATTCTCAAAGACTTCTTTAACTTCCGTGTATGTCAAGGGAATTCACATTGTTACAAAAGAGAGTTTTCCACAGATCCTTCCGGAATAACTCCATCTCTATTTGTGGCTTTTGCTGAGATGGTTGATTAGCTCCATAGGTCAAACATGGAATCTTTTCAGCAAAGTTCTCCCAGCTGCACACTTGGCTATGATTCTCTATGTTTCTATAGTGAGAAAGCTAGGCATGTCAGACTTTGTACATGGTAGCACATGCCTGTGTGTATGTGCATGTATGTGTATTGTGTATACATATATGGATATATAACATATAACTATATGCCACATAATACATGCCACATTGTCCACCTAACTATTAAGAACTTTCTTTGAAGTAGTTGTCATTTAATGGGCATTCACATGAAATACAAATATCCTCATATTCTTTTCTTTTGTACCAGTACTGGAACCTGAACTTAGGTCCTGAGTGCTGTCCCTTAACTTTTTCACTCAAGGCTGGCATTCTACCACTTGAGCCACAACTTTACTTCTGGCTTTTTGGTGGCTAATTGGAAATAAGAGTCTCACAGAATTTCCTGCCTGGGCTTACTTGGAACTAAAGTTCTCGGATCTCAGCCTCCTGAGTAGGATTACAGGGACAAGCCACTGGCACCCGACTAACACCCATATATACTCCATGTTCATTCTAAGAACCCCACCCATTTACCTTTTCTCTAGATTTCCAAGTTCATTTCTTCCAAGTCATTATTTAATTCACTACTATCTTTATATTAGGCAAATGCATGACTCTGGCTCTTCTTTCTAGGCAAGGAAATGAAGTATGATGCTTGGGGGATTTTCTATTCATTTATAGCAATCCCCGAAGGGGGATGTGTTGCTGTGACCATTCACTCTCAGGTGATGCCACCACACTGTGCAGATAGATTCATCAGAAAACAAGGCCTGGGGCCGGGAATGTGGTTTAGTGGTAGAGTGTTTGCCTCACATGCATTAAATCCTGGGTTTGATTCCTCAGTACCACATAAATAGAAAAAAGCTGGAAGTGATGCTGTGGCTCAAGTAACAGAGCACTAGCCTTGAGCACAGAGAGGCTCAGGGACTAAGCCTAAACCCTGAGTTCAAGCACCAGGACTGGAAAGAAAACAAAAGGAAACAAGGCCTGGATTTTTCCTCCCTCACTTAGCTGGTTATAGGCTATAGGAAAGAGTTGAAGGACAGGTGTTAATGCAGCAAGCGTAGGTCTCATGCCCTTGCTTGTCTGTAAAACCCTGCGTCACTTGTTTGTATATCTTCAAGACCAGCTGAAGGCCATTCTTGTATATGTTGTAGGTGCATATCAGTATCTCTTACTTCCAGTTGATGGAATGTTGCTGCAACTCTCTTACTTCCCACTAGGTTGTAAGCACCTGGAGAATATGGGCAGCATTACTACCTAACATAGAATCTTACTAGAGTAGCTGCTCAAAACAAATATAGATTATTTGTAGATGAACAAGTATGAGGAACAAACTGGATTTCATTCAACTTGCTGAACAACTTAGATTTTCATAAAGGTTACAAAAAGTGCACAGAGAGTTCCCATATACTCCTCACCCAGTTTCTTTTATTATTAATATCTTACATTAGCATGGTACAGTTGTCAATATTACTGACATTGCTACATTGTTGTAAATGTCAGATTTTGAGTTTCAGCATTTTCTCATGTTCTGTTCCAGGATCCAAACCAATGTACTGCTTTCAGTTTTGTTCTATTTTGTATTTGCTACAATTCATTTAAGTTGTCATGTCTTCTCAGTGTCCCTTGTCTGGGAAGTTTCTCAGTCTTTGTTTTCATAACTTTGAAGCACTTGTGGAGTACTGACAAGGAAGTCTATAGAATGCATCCCAAATCTCAGTTTGTTCTAGTTTTTTCTTTTTCATGATTTGACTGGGCTAAAGAGTTTTGGAGAGAGGGCTGGGAAGGTGGCTCAGTGGTAGAGTGCTTGCCTCACATGCATGAGACCCTGGGTTCAATTCCTCAGCACCACATACACAAAAAACGCCAGAAGTGGCACTGTGGCTCAGGTGGTAGAGTGCTAGTCTTGAGCTGAAGAGCTGAGGGACAGCGCCCAGGCCCAGAGGTCAGGCCCCACGACTGAACCCCCCTCCCCCCAAAAAAAATGAGTTTTGGAGAGAATATCACAGAGAGGAGGCACCCTTCTCATCATATGCCATCACTGACAAACAAAACATGGGATGCCACTAATGATGTTCACTTTCATCACTTGGTTAAGTAAGTGTTCGCCAGGTTTCTCCACTGTATAAAAACTTTTGTGTGTGTGTGTGGGGGGGAGGGTCATGAACTCTGGGCCTGGGCGCTGTCCCTCAGCTCTTCAGCTCAAGGCTAGCACTCTACCACTTGAGCCATAGCATCACTTCTGGCTTTTTCTGCTTATGTGGTACTGAGGAATCAAATCCAGGACCTCATGCATGCAAGGCAAGCACTCTACCACTGAGCCACCTTCCCAGCCCTAAAAACTCTTGATTAACAAGACTTGACAAACTTCCAAGTTGCTGAACTCATGGAGTTACTGAAATATTGACATCCAGAAAGGGCATAGAAAGTCTACTTCCTGACCCCTTACCTCTTGCCCTATCCATCTGGCTGCTCTACTTTGTAATTTTCTTTATCAAGAACCAATCAAGGACTGGGAATTGTGGCTTAGTGGTAGAGTGCTTGCCTAGTATGCATGAGGCCCTGGGCTCCATTCCTCAGCACCACATAAACAGAAAAAGCCGGAAGTGGCACTATGGCTCAAGTGATAGAGTGCTAGCCTTGAGCAAAAAAGCTCAGGGACAGCACCCAGGTCCTGAGTTCAAACCCCAGAACCAGTCAACATAAGTAAAGTGTTTTCCTGAGTTCTAGAAGAGGTGGGGGGGGGGGTATGAAAGGATGGAAAGTGAAGGGGCCCAGTTAGAGGGATTAGCACTGGACAGAAGTAATGTTTTTCCTTGAAACAAGAGAGAAGGATAAAGGAGTGGATGCAGACACTGGTAGCGCTATAGGTTTAGTGGTTGGAGGTCAAGAGTTCTATTTGATGTGATACAGCTAAGACACCTGTGAATGAAAGGAAGTAGAAGGTTTTAGATGAAAAACAAGATTCAAAGTTGTGTTTAGATAATAGGAAAAATAGTTGTTTGACAGACAATGGTTTAACCAGAAGATGTGGCAGATTCAGATAATTTTAAAGACTTTGGATTATGAAAAATATAAAACATATACAAAATAAACAGAATCATATAATAAACTTGATGTGCCCATCAGCTGTATAAGTATAGACTGCATCACATTCTATACTTTTTTTTTTCGAGTCTTAGAGCTTGAACTCAGGGCCTGCGTACTGTCCCTGAGCTTCTTTTTTTTTTTTTTTTGGTCCGGTTGTGGGGCCTGAACTGTGGGCCTGGGCGCTGTCCCTCAGCTCTTCAGCTCAAGGCTAGCGCTCTACCACTTGAGCCACAGCGCCACTTCTGGCTTTTTTCTTTTTGCTTATGTGGTGCTGAGGAATTGAACCCAGGGCCTCGAGCATGCAAGGCAAGCACTCTACCACCGAGCCACCTTCCCAGCCCCTCCTGAGCTTCT